AGGTTTATATATACTCGGTATAATCTCGTATTATAATGTTCAAGGTTACCTAATCTAAATTGACGTATTTTTATTAAATTTATAACTAAATAAGTTTCGGCAATAGGTAAAAATGATTACCTGTTTAAAGTAAAGTGCATTATTCTAATATGAATTTGATATGTGGCTCAGTTTTAGTACAAATTTGTAACTAATTTGATAAAGCTRATGAAAATTTTGATTCCGCCAAATCGTTTGGTGATATCTACATGTAGGTTTATATATAATTAGAGAAATTGAATATTTTATTTAAATAATTGTTATTTGAAGCTTTTAAAATTGTATTATTTTATTTAAAACTGTTATTTTTGGAGTAGTGGAAGCAGTAGAAGGTCGTCTATACACAATATACAGTGTGTTAGTGTGACAAGTTTATCAATTTATCATAATTTGTATATGTGTTTRCATYCGGGACCCGTAGTGATGCATCATTTTATGGTAACATTTTGCTACAAATCGTTTAATAATATTTCTTCTAAGATTCAAAGTTAAAAAATTAACTCTTTAAGTYAATAATTGATATGATATTACTAAAACGATATAGTTAGTTCATAAAAAAATAATAATAATAATAATAAAATTAATATTATAACGGTGCAGATCAGAGATATTTGAATTTATCAAAAATTGTATTATGCTATAGGTAGTAATATTATACAATTCAACTTAATGAACATAATATTACAGCTTAAAATAATAAAATAGTTAATCTTCCAAGTTTTTAATATTATAGTTGATACTGTAGTAGATTAAGTTTTATAATCTAGCTACCGTGGTAGGTATTAAGATAATACTAAAAGATGTATCATATGGTGGGTCCCGAACGTGTACGCACACTTAATGATGATAAACTATTGTCACATTTATACCCTGATTATTTCTCATACACAGCACCCTAATGAATCTCTGTATCCATTTTTCAAAAACAAAAATTTAAATGAAATTAATACAATTTTAACTCATATTAAAAGCTTAAAATAACAGCTAACATAGSAACTTTTTAGATAGGAAATTGTACAAAGGTAGAMTTTTAAAAAGGTCAGTTTTTATATTTAATTTTTAGTTTATGTTTAATATTAGTGTGCGTCTTGTTTCATGCGCTCGTTTCTTCTTTTTACTATTTTTAATAAACATAATAAATAAGTATTTTACTGTTATTAAGGGTAAATCAATTTAAATAAATACTTGAGAATTTTATTGATGTAAATTCAGCTATCTATTATTTAATAAACATGTATGGTAATCAATATAAATTGTTGTACACTATAATTGTTCAAACTTCATGCAATTAATAACTATCGTACAGATATGTGAATTATAACTCTCGAAAAATTCCAATTACTTAGGTATGTTTATTTAGAAAATGAATAAATATAATTATTTTAACTGACTACTCGTATTAATTTATTCTAACCAACTATGTATTTCAATATAATTCGTGAATACTAATGAGGTAAATTTTTGTGTTTTTATTAMATATTCTGGTCAACATTGTATTTAAATCCAATTCAATTAGTTATTATTATAAAGATGGATGACTTGGTTATTGTAACCACCCAACATTCGTAAAACGAATTTTGCRATGTGCAGGTTTTTGTGAGATTCGAGAGGACGACAGTGATTATAGGTGGGATGTAAAGGGATTTAAAATAAATTTAAATTCATCAAGGAATCCAAATTGTGAGATTTCACTATTTTTTATAGGAGTCAAATTTGGTTTGAACGATTAGTGACCCTCTGTTGAATTTACTTCAAACGTAGCATTTTCTGGTTCTCAGTAGTCAGTTGTTAATAATAGTGTTCAGGATTAATTGTGGAGCGGAGTKGGATGATGGTGGTTGTTGAGGTTTTTGGATTGAGATTTGTGGCAAAGTTATTGTACATCCTAATAATTTAGTTACATTATGATTTCATACATTTTAAATAAAAATCCTTCAGTCTTTCTATATAAATTGGTGAAATATATAATATTGTAATCATTAATTACATTATGTGTTTTAAAATAAATTCTAAAAATGTTTAAAATTCCACACTCATAAAGTTTGGTGATTATATAGCATACATTCAAGTATGACATTGAACTTTTCACAAGCCATATTATACATATTTTTACTAATAGGTTTCTTTATAAAAATAAATTGTTAAAAAATAATTACTTGTAATAGCACCATGTGTGCTGAAACATTTTATGAATATAATAAATAATAATAAAAAAAAAAAAAAATAGAAAAACAAAAGCATTAAAACACTATAGACAAATTTTTTGTATAATGTATACCTGTATAAGATGTATAGAGACCTATTAATATAAGTATTCACCAGTTACAGAACACATATTGGTGCACGCAGATTATTAGACATGTTTGATGAATAATTATGTGACACTACGTAATATGATATAGCCATACAATATCATATTAATTTAAGATTATTTAACGCAATTATATTATTGTTTTTTCTCTCAGACCTACTTGCGAGGTATAAATAAGACACATTCACKTCAAATATTATTTGATTTTATAGGTAGTCGGCTTTAAAAAATAAAATAATTTACAAATGCAATTGGATATTTAATTTATTGAGACAATATTTAGACRAATCGATACCCCAAAAACATTTATTCTTTATGACATTTTGGAATGTGTGATTTTACTCTAAGATCACTGAAAATAAAAATAAATTATTTTTGAATTAGTTTTTCACGATGCATCAGATAGAGAAAACAAACAGTGCTCTGATATCCTCTTAAAACATTGCCCAAGTGTCCTAATGCATTTATTATAAAAGAAAAATATTTAAATTGTAAAAAAATTTGTGCTTAAGGCTATGATTGGTATTAATCAAGCCGTGCCATACAACTACAAACYCGCAATCATTTTTAAATTTGATGATATTATATCATTGCTTTCTTCAAACTCTGAATCTATAATAGTAAAATATATCGATAAGAATATGTGGCGTTGACAGCGAGGTTATGATAGGCAATAGCGATTGACCTGATAAAAACTTTGTCAGTTATTCAGCTTTTGTTGTTTAATCGAGCTATAACAAAATATATGAATTTTAAATATTATATACTGTGTATGTTTACMTATACCTATATATAGTTGGCTATAACTGTTTACTATAAAATGTAAGAAATTACATTGCAAAAAAAAAAACTGAAAAGTATGTTTATGCGGTACTCAGTGAAAAATCGATATAAGTACGTAAAATAATTAATATTGGTTGTTACATTAAACGAGTGTATACGTGTGTGTATACCTAGGCCGTGAGCTAGCTTGCATATTAAGTAGGTACAATAGTTATTGAAAACTTATATTATTGTTTATTTTTCTGATGATAATAATGTGCTGTACCGCCTGTACCGATGTAGGCACTTTCTCTAAAATCATGAAACACGCATGCATTCGATGCAATTTGTTTTTCAATAGGATTATTAYTTGTTTTACAAATTCTCGATATTTTATACGGATGAGAAAATGTACAAGGTATTTCAAGCATTTTGAACTTTGAACTCGCACTGCACTTGACTTTGCATTGTTTTGTTTAATACAAAGGTACGCTCAATATTACTGTAATTCGAGAGTATGATTTAAACGACAATGGGATATAATAATATGATATAGTAACATAAACCACTAAATACTGTGAGTTTCTAATTGAAATTTAAYTGTATGTTAAATATTATAAAGTGGTCGATAGGAGTGTTAAAGACATAAGTATTCGGAAAATAATCGTACAAGCATAAAATCATAATACATACTATAAGATAGGAAGTTTACGAATTTAGATTAACATCTACMTGGGTTTCTATCGGGTYGAAAAAAATAGGTGATCTTATATAATATTATTATTATTTTTTATAATTATAAATTTCTTACTGTACGTGAATGTAAAATACACTTTACGTGATGTAATTAATATTTATAATGAGCGCTTTCCAATTTTAAGCTGGTTTTGTTTAAATAATGTAAGACTATAAACAAATAATCATAAATATAAAGCCATATTAAAATTAATTTGGATAACTATAACGTTCTGATACATTTTTAGACATAATAAGTATTTTCGATGGTATAGCTTTCGATGCAGCTTAACTAGTATTAGAGTTGGATTACGTTTGTAAATGTATTGTATTACTAATTAAATAGCGTTTATATATTTAAATTCTTTTAAAAGAAAAAATAGGTATAGCTGCATATAGATGCATAACAAAAAAAATAGTGGATAGTTAATTAGATCAGAAGTTTAAAACAACATTTTACACCCAATGTTTTGTTTATTTTTAATAAAAAAAACTCTGGCGATTCAGTAACTTAATATGATCAAAACAAAAAAAAATCGAATAGAATATTTTAATTTCTGATAAATAATCCATATAAATCGTATTTTATTGTCAGTACATATTTAAACCGATAGTATTCGACAATGATGATAATAGGTAAGTCGGAAACACCTACTATCATCATTTATATGACCTAAAAAGACATTCTGTTAATATATTTTCTATGTCACGCTACGGCAGAATTTCTTATCAGACTGAATGTCAACAATCGAAATAAGACTTTGCTATATCCCGGATGGGTGTCCCCGTGGGATTTCAATGAGCAACAGGGCATATTGCGTGTTATTTCTTCCCTCGCTATTAACTATATTTCCCGGGTTGGACAAAAGTCGTTACAATGCCCTTCGGCCTTTGTCATATACGCGTATATGTGTACACAATACCAAACGTTCACATCAAAAATATTTCAAATGCTTTTTTTAGCCCTTTTAAAAATTATTAACATTTAATATAAAAAAGCTTTTATAGGATAATAATAATATGAGCTCTAACAAAAAATGGGGGTATATATGGGCGAACCCATATACGATGAAATCATATCTACGAGAAATATTTTATTTTATACTCATAGCACCATCGTCTTGTTTGTTTTGTTTTTTTTATATATATATAGCCGAAAACGTATGCCACGTGAAATTCTATACGAGAACGTCGAGGGAACACGATCACCACCGATCGTCAGTGCCGTGCAACGATGAAACGGGAACAGGTGACTTGGTCCGACGTCGGCCGTTATCAAAGTCTGAYTTCGACCTCAGCTATCCCGAGGATTTGGATTATTTGTGCAAGAAATTTGCGGCCGCGGAACGACGGCATGTCACCATGGACAGTTTCGCATCRTCGTCGTCGCCGAGCACGCCGGGCGCCGGTCAAGGGTGCTGTCCGTCCGCAATCAATTCGTCTTCCTGCGCCACCGCCACCGCCCAGTCCACTATACAGAGCATCAACGTGGTGCAAAAGACCCATTCCTTCTTCAATTCCTTGAAGGTAATCTCACACGAAAGTCACACGTCGAATCATATATAGCCGACGTATTGGTAATCGGATATAGAAATATTCATAATAATAATATGTAACGTGAAGTATTAGGTACTATACCTACGCGATATAAACATTTGAACTGAACTTATAAGTTATAACTTATAATAATTGTTTTCAATCGGGCTATGTAGATTTTTTTTTTAAAAAGTACCAAAATCGACAAAACAAAAAAGGGAATATGAACGACTGTAACCTAACTTGCTTTGCGTGTGGAATTTGAAAGCAAATGATATAAGTAATGCATTGTCGCTCGATGATAATAAACTTTAAGAAATTAAACATTACACATAATATATGTAATATAATCTCATATACCTAAAATCTTACAAGTTACGTGTAAGGCCCTTGTGATGATAAGTGTGRTGTAAAAAAATTCAAACTCCATTACTAAGTACTCCAGTGACAAAAAAGTTCAAACAACCATTTCTACGATCATAAAATATAAATGCTTATTTTTTTTATTATTGCTAGGTATTTAAAATCAATAATACAATTATTATTACCTACCTGTCCTACCTATACGAGCTGAGTTCAYAACACGTCGTAGTAATTTGCAGTTACATATCGTAATGTAGATATATTGCAAAATATATTAATACCATCAATAAGCATATTACAAAATTATACGGGCATAGAATTAATATTATATTTTTATTATTTTGTTTTCAAATTGTCTTTTCATACTTATAACTTTTATTTAATTGTACAAGACTTCCATAAAAATTGCTATGAAATAAAATTAAAAAAAAAATAATTTAAAACAATATATTGCTTTAAACTTTTCATTAAAATGTTTAATTGTCAAATTAATTACAAGTTTAAAAATTCGTTGTTCTAATACTTATTTATTATTATGCATTTGTGCACAAATAAACAATATGTACCCCTACATACTGCCACACTAGCTGTTAATATATTGCTTGTGTATATCTTGACACGAATTGTGTTATCTCATCGGTAATTGGAATTCGCTCTAACAATAATAAATTATACTAGAATTCTACAAATCCTTTGAAACTAGGTACACAACAAAGAATGTATTTTATATAGTTGCTTAGCAATTTAAGGAAAATAATCCACTACATTCACATAAAAGGGGATTTTTATACAAGATAATATTATATTGGTAACATAATATTATGTTATCAGGCATTTGTTTTTTATTCATGTTTATTAATCATAATCTGAAACATACTCATAGCTATTTTAAATAAAACATTGTTAAGTACCTACATAAAATAATATATGGGTCAACCTAGCTTCTAGCTACTCCACTCCTCATAACTAACGCTCATRCATTTATGGTGGTATATATTTAAACTATATAAATTAGTACAATACATTTTAAAGTCTACTTGTATAGATAAGTTTTTTATTCGACAAATATATATATATAAACATATGTATTGAAATTATAAAGTTAGTGATCCATGTTACAAGTCCTATCTAGACATTACACCCATAACATAATATTCATATATCCATAGGTTTAGAAAATCTTATTTTATTAAATTTTGTTTAAATTTTATGTTATATGCCTACACTTTATTATTATTTAAATAATTTAAGTAATATATTGATGTAATAATATCAATTTAAATTAATGATTTATTTTTTTTTTAAAATTATATGTGTAATTAGAATCGGTGGTTTCCAAATGAGGTAAACAAAAATGTATATTTTATTTAAAAAAAATATACTAGTTTATACGCTACCTATATTTTTGTTCGAACTCAAACTTATTTAAATGTATACATATACATGTACATTTACACTAATTTAATCATTATAATGCTATTTTCAGGAGAAATGGGCCAAAGGGAGAAATAAAGCACGAGGCTCTGACACTGACGAGTCACCCTCTGAATCTCCTATACTTTCTAGACTAGTCCGTCCAGATACTTTACAACAAACTAAGTCTTCAGACTCAAAAAATACTCAAAATTCAATTACTAGTGGTAGGGTATTAAATAAATGTAAAATATAATAGCTATTTTTTCTTAAAAAACCATAAGATGAAAATTTGTTTATGTTATATGAAACAATTATAAATTAAATTTAAAAAAAAAATTCTACATCAAAACGGTCTTAAATTGCTAAAATCTTAAAACTTTTTTTATTTTTTGATTAATTGTGTCTAATAGTTTCAAATGTTAAAGTCAAAATAAGAGTTTTACTGATATTAAATCTTAAGTTATACATTTTACTTACATTTATTTAAAGATCATAATATATTTAAATTTTRTCGAGTGTCGAAAGTTTCATATCAAATGAGATTGTTTTTTTTTTAGAATGTAAGAAATAAAAATRAAGTAGTTAAAAAAACCTCTTTCCTCTCATTGAAGAAAAATATTTGAAAATCTAATAAAATAAAACTACATATAACATTAAATATTKACACTGTTTTTATATAAATATTTTGYTAATGTATTTTAGAATTTGGATTGACTCAGAATTGGTTCCAGAAAGTTGTTTCACGCGACCATCAAATYCGGCTCCGGAGACAAAATTCAATAAGATCTGAACAACAAATAGATTTGGCTACACCAGTAAATATTAATTTAAATTCCTACCATTCTTTGTAATATTATGTTACTTTGATGTAATGTGGTAGATAGGTATGCATCCATTAAAATATATAGAGATAATTTCTAAAAACAACTAACGTTCTGTAATAGAACCATCCTTTATTATTTAAGATATTTACTCAAGACAAATACCGATCTCATGCATTTAAGCAGTATTATGTAATAATYTTAACATAACTTGGTTTATAATTTACATTTTAAAACAAATTAATATAATTCAAAATATTTTTTTTTWAAAGGCTTTAAAATTAAATTCTGCTAATGAACTTTTACTTTCTAGGAAGGCCAAAATCCAATTCAAAATGAAGCTTTGCTCAGAAAATATGACTTTTTTCAACTCAAAATACATTTGAAAAAAGGAAAAGATCTCATTGCTCGAGATAAAAATGGTAATTAACAAAAGTCAATTTTTTAATAATAATATCAATGTTTGTTGAGTGCTAAAGTTTGTCAAAATTTCAGGTCTCAGTGATCCCTATGTGAAATTTAAGATAGGTGGAAGACAGATTTACAAATCAAAAACTGTGTATAAAAGTCTGAATCCAACTTGGGACGAAACGTTTACACACCTACTAGATGATCCTTTTGAAACAATTCAAATAAAGGTATGAATTTATTTTATTTTAAAATAACATAATTTAGTTTTAAAAAAAAAACTCACTTAAATTATAAGTGGTGTGTCAAAGGTATAGTAATATGGTACAGTTTATAACAAATACATTTATAAATTAATGCATTTAAAAAAGTATACAATRTGTATACCTTTAAATGTATTATTTTTTTTTTGTATTATTTGGTTTTTACTGTACTGTATAAGTATTTCATTTTGTAATTTATGTTTGTGTGCTTTTCCTTCAAATGTTTGTTTGTTAAATTATAGTTTTATGCATACATAGGCCACCGCCTCTGGGGAAACTTTTTTCCATTTAAAAAAATATTACATTATAATAATATGGGGTTCATATTCCTGGCATTTCCACGGTTGAAATTGGTCAAACTTATAACTTGAACCTCGGTTGAACAAAAGTTCTATTGCCTGTATGTCCTCAATAACCCTTAACCTATAAATTGAATAGTGGTATTTCCGTGAAGAAAAACGAAAAACAAAATCTGTTTTAAAATAAATATTATTATACCATAAAATATAATCATACAGATACCCAAGTTATTTCCCTAATGATAACCTTTGGTTATAATGCAGAGGAAAACTATATGGCAGAATGATACATTTTGTTAGGAATTTAAATTTTTCATTCTTATTGTGGATTTCGATTTGCGTTTCTATGGCAATAAAAAAGTCGTTACAAAAATCGGCCTCTCGAAAATTGGTTAGAGAAATAAGTTTTAGCCAGCCCATAATCATATCCATGTTAAAATGTTTGTTTTTTTGTGGTTGATCAAAAACAAAATGCATGACTGACGTGTGAGACATGAGTCACCCTATGGAAACCTATATGGGTTGAAAAACGAAGCTATTAATACTCCCCGAGTCTCAAGAAATACGTGTGCCAAATTTGGTGCCAATCAGTTGAGAAATTTCCATGTCTATAAGGGTTATCCGAATGTACATTAATTGGTTCAATGGATTTATCGATCATGTGTTTCATGWTATCTAAAATTCTACTGATTCATCGGACATCGTACAAATACACGGTCATTTGGCGTAAAAAATTTTAAAACAGACTTGCACATGAGATTTTTATATTTTATTTTTCTTATTTCTTCATTGTTAACTATTGACATGTATTACTATAGAGCTGTCCCGTTTCATATTGAATTATTATTTTCATTTTTGTACAACTAAAATAAATGTATTCCATATACACAATATTATAAATTACCGAYATTTATCAAGGAATATAAATCAGTTCATTATTTTGTAGTTCGAAGACGGAGGGTGCACACTTGATCAAATTGTATGTGTTTATGCGATTATGCGTCAGACGTACGACTTCACACCATCTAATGACTACAGAGCATACGCGATTTGTTCAAGTGTTCTCACTACTRCTTCACATTCCGTTGTATTTGTTATCATTAATTTTGCGCACTAAACCCATATTTGATATTTTTAAGGAAAACAATTATTGATTATMTAGGCGTAATGTTTGTTACATATACCTATTATCTACCTATTGGCTATTTTAATAAATAATATTCTTTACAATTTTATCTTAAAATAATGATTTTAAATGAGCAACGGTCGATATCATAATAATTCATGGTCGTAATTTGTCAACCTAAATTAGCATATCAAATGAAAATGTGCTTATATTGTATTTTGATATATTATATTAACATACCTTATTAATAAGAATATGAACTTTGTAACTAGTAGGTCTCATAGAATAAATATACATTTGCGATATTTGCGAACATATTAATGAAAAAACTTCAATCTGGAAATTCAATATTATGTCAAAGGTATTAGGTATTTTATAGTTGGTATTATTAATTTATTGCTTAGATTGTTAAATTGGCAATAAAAAAAAAATCATGTGCGTGTAAAAAACATTATAATGTATAAAATGTTTCTCCCGTATATATGATGTAATGGCTTTGTTTTTCACAACTACAGTTTACTAAAGTAACAATAATTTTAATAATCAATATCAATTTCATATTAAGCTATAATGAATATAATTTTGTTACATAATACTTTAAATAATTGAATGTCAAAATCAGGTTAGGTTCATTATGAATGATAATGGACAAATTGTTGTTGKTTTTTAWATTTTATATAATAWTTAGACAGGTGTATTGCATAAAAATATTCAAACTTGTGAGAAATAATCATATACCTAATGGACTGGAACTAGTAAAATAGAAAGKGTCGAAACTCTTTTAGCATAYYTTTCGTCTGTAAGGAAAATTGAGGAATCATATGATATGTGTTTTATATTGCTGATTTGCGTTTCTATGACGATAAACAGAGTGCCGCATAATGGGTTAGAACAAAAAAAGTTGTATCCAGCCCAAAACACGTATATCTTAATATTATGTATGATTTTCCACGGTCCGGTCAAATGTACGTGWGTGGTTTGTCCCCGGTCATAACTTTTTAACAGCATTATAATAAATCAAATATTGGTTTTAAATTAAAACACCAAAACTTTACTGTAGCGACACTAGTGAACTGTATTTCATTATACTTTTACGAGGGCACAGAAAAAATGAGGGACCCGTTTGTTTTATTTTTTAGAAATAACGCCAGTTAGATTTTTACGACGTTTCGTTATGTATGTAGAAAATGTAAATACCAAAATAAATATTATTATAAAATTATATAAAGAATCATAAAAATAATATAWTTTAAAAGTATACATTGTAAAATGCGCAATCGCGATAACAACGAACTCTTTTTTTTTATTCGTAATTTTCATAAACATATTATTATTATTACAATATTGTGAATTATCAAAATAAATTATTAAAATATTATTAAAATGCCTGTTTGTGATACGTCGTGTACTATATTTGAATATTACATTAAATAGTATGCTGTTGTTTTCTTTTTATTACTTACATTAACTCTCGGCATCAAAGGCCATTGAGATCAACATGATGACAACATGTTTTTGTTTTATAACCCAATAAATGATGAATACATACAAACCTTTTAGTTCATATACGTAGATCTACAGCGAGTACAATCAGAAACGTTTTACTGTTGTACGTCTATARGTAGATGGTATTGTCTTTAGAGTAAGTGATTTTTGCCTTCACATCACGATATTTGYCGCTTGGTGTTAAGCCAAGCAATATTGTCACATTTCGATTAGTATTTCTGGATTTTAATTTAATTTCGTTCTCGTACATAATACAGACATACAGTTGAAGGTTCATCTGTGTTCTACGYGACCACTAAAACATATTTACAYTAGTAAGTATTTGACAAAGTAACTTATAGGTAACTTAGGATACCTAAGTCTCAATGGTTTTAATTTAAGTGCATATATCCCAAAAACTTTAGCATACACTGTGGTCGCCAAAATGATTGCCTCGTAGACATTTCTATTAATCAGTATCATTTTTAAACAAACACTTTTGTACAAGTCAATATTGTAGTCGATAATTAAAAATATATAAATACAGTKATATTGTCGTTACTCGTTGCTGATATATCGTAATAAGCAAATTGTGTATTATTGAGTGTGATATAGTTTAATGGTTGATATTAGTTAATAGTTTTATTGGTATTACTTTATTGGATTTTATGCAAGTAATTTTAAATATGTAGATCTGTGAAAAACTTGCATGGTATCTGTCATACACTGTGGTTAACTGTAAAAATGAACATTATATTTCAATAACACTACTTTACACAAATATCTGTTCATATTWCGAATTATATCGATACTCGGTATGTTAATCTTAATAAATTTATGGAAAACCATTATTAATTTATCCGTTATTAATCAAAAAGCGAGTAATTATTAAAACTATATCGTATTACGGATAACATATTGTTGAGTCTATCCAACCAGTCTTATATGATAATTAATTATTATAATATTTTAGCGTTAATTTCAATATCTATAAAGATTCCACCATATAGGCTGTTTTTAGTACCTATATAATTATAAATAAGTAGATTGTTTTTTGCCTAACAAATACATTTTTATCGATATTAATTTAAAAAAAAACTAACAATGATCTAAAATTTCAAATGCCTATGAATAGTTCAACTTAAGTCGAACATTTTTGAAAATTGCATGGTGGATAGAATATTCGGTGAAAGTTTCATGTATCTATGGTCATTTGTTTTAAAGTTACATCAAAAACCAAAATCGATTTTGTCGAAAAATGAGTGTGCGTAAAATTTCTTGTTTTTCCCTTAATTTTTAGTTTGTTTTTCTAGATGATTTAGAAAAGTATTAAGAATTTTTCACTTTTGACCCCCTCCCCCCCCCAAAGTACCAACTAGATTCACTTTCTGATCGAACGAGGTACTGAAGTCAAAAATCGAAGCATTTTTACTGCCTCAAAACGTGATGATAGACACAAAAAAAAAWTTTTTTAAAAATAAAATAAAAACACACATCATGGTAAAATCAATACATTCATCGCTCCGCTCAGAATCTAAAAGTGTATAGCTGGATAAAAAAATTAAATATTGATTAATTAAAATAATCATTTGAAAAAACAACCGCTAAATAAACGTGTTCATCAGAGTTCCTGATTAATCAGAAATATAAACATATTGTTCACTATTATATCGTAGGGCTTATAACATAAATATTTTTTGTACTTATTTATGTATAAACACTGTTTCTTTGAATCAATAAATTTGGTTATTTTACGTACCTATAGCAGAATTCGTTAAAAGTGATTTAACTGGGTTTTTAAAATGAASTAACTTATTTAACACATAGTTGAGTACTTTTATTGACAATAATGCAACAGATTTAATTAATGATAAAGTGTCTTCTATTGATTTGCACCACTAAGTTAGTTAGCTGTTATCAAAGATATTAATGTTCAACTGTCAGAATTTAAAACAAAGTTTTCCATCGTTGGCCGATTAAATGGTGACTAATTAACCGTGATATTTTCGCTTACTTTCGATTTTTATWTTATGCTTTGTTTTGTGTACATATTGTTATGCATAGCTACCAATCGAAAGAGGGTTTGGTAAACATGAAATGTGGTTGAAARTAAGAGCATGTCACGAAGTACTATGTATAATATTATGGCATAAAAATGCATAAAAGCACTTTTTTTTTCACAATTTTCACGCACTATGCTGCTAAATTAATTTTTCATGCAGTAATAAATTAAATTAACAAAGTTTTTAGGCAACACATTTATTTTGTTTGTAGAATGAAAATAACAATGCATAGTTTATTGTATTTATTTTTACTTTAATGACCTAATCAAATATTTACAATATTTACATTATTTAATAATATCAATGTTTTTTTATTTTTTCTATTGAAATCAAAACTCAAAATTTATTCAATGACTGTGTCATAATACTATTATTATATAAAAACGATAATATAATACTGTCATATTATCGTTGAATAAAATGGTAAAACAATTTTACATCGCTTATGTGCATTTTTGCATAAGAGTTTTAGTGTAAAAAAAAAATAA